GTGTGTGTGTGTGTGTGTGTGTGTGTGTGTGTGTGTGTGTGTGTGAAAGTTTTAATTCCTGAAACCCTTTTCTGTTTTTCCATTTTAATTTCATGTGATTATTATGGTAAATTGTTCTACCATGTTTGTGTTCATATTGATAAAGAACAGTCTAGATTTTGAGAATATTGTAAATCTTTTGGGTAAAGTTTACAGATACAAATAAATTTGTGGGTACTCTTCCGCATTAACAAAAAAAAAAACTACTTGTGTGACTCCAGTTTTGTCTCACAAGTCCCAGAAACTTTAGGGCTTATCAACATGCATTTTAGCACATTTCTACTTGACTTTTTTGTATTGTGGAGCCCTCCTGGGGCTTCTTCCACAATGCCCATTATTATTCAAAATGTGAAGTAGAGTACTATCAAACAAGGGCGTACCTTGACTTTGGAATTTAGCTTGAATTGGTTCTGGGTGGCTTCCTTTGTTCTTTTTTATTTTAAACCATCCATCTGATCAACCTGGGGTTGCATTTCCTCATGCGTCCAGGTCCAAAGATGCTGGCTACAGTCTCATGAACAATGTACTTTTATCAGTTTTGGCAGCTGTAGTCTAAGGAACAAGAACTTGCTTGGAGATGGTTTCGTAGCCTTTTAACATGGACATCTATAATCTATCTGAGCTCATCAGACCGCTTTTTTCTGTTTATTCCCTTTAAATCCAGCATCATCCAGATGCTGGATGCTGTCTATCACGGTGCACTAAGATTCATAACTGGGTGTAACTACCGTACCCACCACTGCGCCCTGTATTCACTGGTTAACTGGACATCATTAACTTCACGCAGACTCTCTCACTGGTACATTTTCATCTTTAAATCACTTCTTGGTCTGCTGCCTTCATACATCTCCTCCTACATGTCTCTGCGTGAGTGCAGCTACAGCGTGCGCTCTCATGACATTATTACATGCAGTGTTCCCTCAGTGAGGACGGAACTAGGCAAAAGGGCCTTCTCCTACTCCGCTCCTGTTTCCTGGAATTTCTTGCAAAAAGATCTGAAGCTCTCAACCTTGACCTCTCTTAAGTGTCTTTAAACATCTGTTAAGTTCCTGGCAAAAAACAATGTAGACATGTTCCTGTTTTTAGTTTGCTACACAGTCTTATATTCTTTTTTTTTTCCCACTACTTTTCCTTTTGACTGCCCTTTTGGTTGCTATTTTGTTTTCATTTGTTAAAACGAAAAGAAAGAATTTTAAATTTGTATGCCACTATTGTAACTATCTATTGTTGTTGTTATCCACTGTTGTCATCACTCTTTGCTAAAGAAATCAGGTCTCTCTTGTAAATGAGTCCCTGAGGCTCAATGGGATTAACTCGTCTGAATAAAGGTTGAATGAAATCACATGAATCAAATGCAAATATTAACCCAAAAAAAATCAGATTTTTAAAAAAAATTATTTAACACATAAGGCATGCAGATTTACATCATACTATTTCTTTTACTTGAATCACTTCTCACAAGATTTGGGAATTATCACAATTTAAACACTACTTTAATCCAGCTCAGTTTCTGAAATCAAGTTTTTTTTTATTTTTATCATTCAACCTTTCATTTAGACATGTCAATCCCACTGAGCCTACCTGATTTTAACAAAGAGTGATGCCAACAGTGGACAACAAAGACAACAACATACATTCATAAAGGATGCATACAAATTGTTTTTTTTTAAATGGGAGGGATTGGTAGTTTTAATATTTTTATTGTGTTGTTTTTACTTTGATATAATTGGAAACTGAATACTTATACTATCTGTCATTTCGAAGTAAAAAGCTATAGCTGTGTGAAAACATCTTCGTTTATGAATCACAGTTTTGTGGCAGACATTTCCATCCTGTTTATGCTACACCGAGTTAGCATCAGCTGCTAACCACCACATTTTTGACCCTGCGTGCTCCATGATGATGACGATGATGAAGAATTAGACATCCGGGCAGTGTGCATGGAAGATGGCGACACTTACACTCCCTGGTGAATGGATCAAAAACTGGGAAAAATCTGGAAAACACGAGTTGTGAGTATATCTGAACTTCAATGAAGCGCTTCGTTTGTTTACGAGCTGTATGAGATGAAACCATGAGCAGCCATCGACACTTTCCGACGCGTTAGCTAGCTAGCTAGGATTAGCGTTAGCTAACAGCTCAATATAGTTTAAGCCGTTTGGGGATGTAAACATAATAAGTCGATGTGGAGTATAACTGGGCAGTTGAAATTTACATATTATGTCGCACCAACTATTAGGCTAATATTTTCATATAGATTCGTAAACACGGTAATTGTCGAAGCTAAGCTACATTCATGTAGCATATCACTTTGCTACACTAAAAGTTAGCTCCTAAACTGAAGATAAATTGGTGTTAGCGTATCACTAATTATTATTCTGTACCGACAAAGTTCACTAGAAAACAGTAAAAGAGTTTGAGGAAAGGAAAAAACAACAACTTCGTAGCAAGTGTTTTGTATCCCTGAACAGAAATAGTCATGTGGAGGGAAACAACGGATCTTTAGTGTTGCAGCTGGTTAGCAGTAACGTTAGCTAGCTTTGGTGTCAAGCGCCATGTTAAATGTGTAACAATTTGATCACGAAAGCGTGAGATAACACGATGTGTCTTGTTGAGTTTACTTAAACAACCTGTCTGGTTGATCAGAATAAGTCGGTGTTTAGGCTGCTAGCCTTAATGTTTATGTTGCTATGCAAATTGTTAGCTTCAGCGTTCGTAACTTTACTGCAGTTCTTTTAGCTGCTAAAAATGGCGTTTCATCTACTTTCATATTGTCAGTCAGGCTAACGTTGACCTCGACAGAGAGCACCAATCTGCACTCGACTAGCATAATATTTATGTGGGTAATCATGGAATGACCCTGACACTATGATCTAGCAATCAATACCGATAATTGATAGGTGAACTTGCTTAAAGGGAGAACATATTGCACGAGTAGAAATATAAAACGAGTTCTGTTGAGCAAAATCATCATCGCATGTTCAGTCATAGGCTGATCCACACGGGCATAGCTGCTATTAGAAACTGCAGGCCTTGCGTGTTGGGGAAAAAGGCCTGCACTGAGGTGCACCACCATAATTTACTGACATATAACAGAAAACTGGGCTGTGTGCCTACTATACCCATGGGTTTCTGTGTCTTTGTTTAGGGTTGGAGTCAGGGATCCGAGCTGAGGGTTAGCTGTCGGCAATAGGTGTCAGGGGTTTTGATAAAGAAAGGTTTGGCAAGCATCAGGCTATTTTCAAAATATAGAAGACGAGAATATTACAAGAAATTATATCTTAAAGGAAGAAGTGGCTGCTAAGATGGATACAAATTGTGACTAAAGGGTTTATGTAAAGACCTATGCCCTTTTATACTCACACAAGCATAGGCGTGTGAAGACCAAAATTGCAAAATACGCATTAACCTGGTGCTGACCACCAAACCAATAAATATCAGTCATCCTTTAGATATAGCCAGAGTAAATATAACTTGGTGTAAACTTGGTTTCTTGTACCTTATATTGACACTGAGGTCCAAATGGACCAAGTCGCCTGCTGAAAAGAAAACTGTGCAGGTTTCCAACCGTTGTTTATCAATGACAGGGTAAGATACTTGCAGCTGTTCAGTTCTGTATTATATTATTAAAGAACTTTATTCAGAATGCGTATTTGTAATAAGAGGTTGGTGTGCAAAAAAAGTGCAGTAACGCTATGATTGTAATGGCAGAAAGGTTGCTGAAAACATGTCGAAGAAACAGAAAAGATTGCTCACCTTTTAATCAGTGCAGAAAGAATGGCATTTATTTGTCTTTGATTTGTTAGCATGATGTTAAAATGCTTCTTATGCCTGATATCCATAAATAGACTACACTTGAAGATACAATTACATTCAGTCTGGTACTGCATCAGTCTCTGTCAATCAAAATAATACAAGTATTCACACTCAGTTTCCTATCACTTAGGGTGCATTCACACCAGCCCTGTTTAGTCCGCTTTAATTGAACTCTAGCTCATTTTCCTAGAAAGTCCGGTTCATTTGGGGAGGTGTGAACGCGCCATCGAACTCTGTCACGGAACAAAAAGGCGAACTCTGGCCCGGGCTAAAACCTAGGTCTCGGTCCGGTAGAAGAGAACTCCAGCGCGGTTCGAGTACAGTGTGAATGTAAACAGACCAGGCCCCGCTCCACGAGCAAGAAGTGGAGTACAGCGCAGGACAAACAAACACGCATTTCTCTGACCTTATACGGAGCCGTCAGCTGCCTTGTGTGGAAAAAACAACATTCTCCATGGTCTTCTGCCTCATCTTCTGCTCATGCTGAGTCCATTTTTGAAAAATGACAAAATATAACTCCTAAAACTGCTAAAACTTGATGCCACTCCGTTTTTGTTTTTATTTCCAGAAGAAGAAGTGTCTTCAGAGGTTTTTGTGTTGTTTCTTTCAGTAGTTCTTGGTGCAGCGCCCCCACAGGCGAGCGGGGGAACAGGTTGGCTCGACTGCACAGTGCAGTGTGAATGCAAACTCACCAGCTCAAATGTAAACAAAAGGTCATGAATATTGGTCCCCAACTGAACCGAGTCTACCGGACTATCAGGTGTGAATGCACCCTTAGGTGAACTATCCATTCCTCCATTATCTTTACCCTCTTCTTCCTTTCCGTGGTCTTCATGCCCGTGTCCAGCCATCACTGTGCGAGAGGCGGGGGACACCCCTGGACAGGTCGCAAGTCCATCACAGGGACACGTACAGACAAATGAGACAATTACTCGCACTCAAAGACAATTTGGAGTACCATTTACCCCGAGAAAGCTCATGTGCTGTGCATTCATGGAGAGAACACGCAAACTCGCATAAAAACGTTCCCGGCCGGGATTCAATTAGCCAACCTTCTCACTGAGAGGCAGCAGCTCTGCCTGCGCCACTGTGCTGCTCATAAACCTGTACGGCCACAAACATGGTCATAATGAAACACGTTCCTAAGGTGTTCCCAGTCTACTTTTAAAATTCTTTAAATTAATTCATGACTGGCTTAACAGTGAATCTTTATGCATTTTTAACACTGTAAACTTTTCACCACCATCTAATAGATAGAGATACTCCATTAATCCTCGGGGTGGGATTTGAGACATCCAGTGGCATGTTTTAATTTTCCAGAACAAAGACGCATATGAAATAATCAAAAGAGAAGCAGAATACACAATTTTGGAACTATGTTGTAATATGTTGCTGCACTTTAGAAAATTCTGCACACGATCATTTTACATGTCCTGCTGTAGTCAGCGTTACGTTTTGATGAGGTTGGCCTACTCATTTGGCCTTAGTTTATACTTCGTATGTTTAACTGAATAATCAGTGAGTAATGTCTTGCGTTGTCTTAAATTTGTTTTATCTATATCAGGGTTTTGGCAGAATTTTAAATGCAAAATTTATTTTTGTTACAACTTGGTGAACCCTCTTTGCATTGTGTTCATTAAAATTTATTTATAGAGCTGAAAATATCCATTCTCATGTAAAAGAAGATTGGATTAACTAATAAAAAAATATATACTGTACCATTTTATTTATAGACACTTAAAACAGCGACAAGGCCAATCAAAGTGCTGTACAGACAGAACAACAGGTAACACATAAAGCAATATACAAAATGAAGTAAGTCAGAATATAGACATAAAAACAATGCAGATAATAAATATGACGACTAATCTGTGTGAAGCAAACGGGTTCAAAACTCAGATCCTCTGGTGTTGAAAGCTACTGAATAGTGAGTTTTTAAACGGGATTTGAAAACTGAGAGGGAGGGGTCAGTCTGACAAGCAGAGGTAACTCGTTCCAAAGTCGTGGTCCTGCTACAGAGAAGGCCCTGTCACCTCTGCGCTTAAGACGAGTTCCTGAAACTGTGAGGAGCAACTGGTCCGCTGACCTCAGGGAGCGTGGTGGGACATACAACCGTAGCAGATCAGAGAGATTGGGGGGGGGGGGGGCTGTTCAGCAATTTTTAAACATTCAGGAGTATTTTGAATATATATATTGTAATATAGATTTTTTTATTTATTTTAGTGTACAACTCTGCAAAGACCTTACAGAGAAAACTGATCATGGAATGGAAATTAAAGGTGAGTGACTGATTTTTATTTTTTCATCCCCACACTCAACAGTTTCCATACACGAGTTCTTGGCTTTGCAGCTTCAACACAAAGTATTTTGAAAATGATCAAATGAAACAGTACAGGAAGTTGTGTTGTCAATAAAATAAAACTTATGTTGTTTTTTTTTTTGGTTTTTTTTGCGTCTGCAGACATACAGACCGCCCTCTATGAGCTCTGCTGGCAAGTTGTTCAGGGAAACCTGAAGTGGGATCTTGGTGCCAGCGTCCTCGGGGACATGATGGTACACGTGCTTCTGTTTTAATTTCACCCCCAGAGTAAATTACATCAAACGCAAAGAGTTGTAAAATCAGAAGAGGTTTTTTTTACATTTTATGTGAAATGTTGATTTTTTTTTGGTGTCAGGTTTGTGTTTAGTAGTTTGTTCTTTTAATATGGTGAGCTGTATATGATGATACATATATCAGGAGGTTTGGTTGAAAATAAAACTGCTTTATTTAATTATATTTTCTAACGGTTGGATGTTAATGTGGCTGTAATTATTTTAAACCCAGCCTGAACTCTTCTTGTTGTTTGTGTTTTTTAGGCACTAAAAGATGACATGCCATCAATTTTAGCAGATGTGTTTTGTATACTAGGTAATGATTTATGTTTTTAATTAACTCTCATAATATTTAATATCTCAGTAGGGAGCAAAATTAATGATGCTTTTTCTCCTCACGTTTCTAATAGATTTAGAAACTAACGCGCTGGAAGAAAAAAACAAACGTGACCATTACACTCAGTTGGTGGGAGCATGCTTGGTAAGAACAGTTTTTGTCTTTATGATAATTTTTTCTAGTGAGGACAAAGAAATGATTACAAATGAATAGTTCTGTAAGTGTGCATTAGATGAAACTTCTGGTTTTATCTCTGGTCTAAAGTCCTTGTTACATGTCTGTGCTATTCTGTTTGCACTTATTTAGAGATATAGTTTTCTGTAAGAATTTGCCGAATATATCTCACGTCTCTTGTCATAAATATGTATATATATTTTGCAATAAGAAAAGTGAAATGGTTAACAACTGCATTTTTTGTATGTCAGTGTTTTGTACCTGAAGCCATCCTGAAAGAGAGGCTGGATCCAGAAACCCTTGAATCCCTTGGACTGATCAAGCAAGCCCATCAGTTCAATCAAAAAATAGTCAAAATCAAGACTAAGCTGTTGTAAGTAAGACTTGCTTAAAAGTAATACAGTGGGTCTTTTTATTGTGCTTTATGTTGTCACTCTTTTATTCAAAATATTTGTGTCCTTTCAGTTATAAGCAGCAGAAGTTCAACTTGCTGAGGGAGGAGAATGAGGGCTACGCCAAATTAATCACTGAGCTTGGCCAAGACTTGTCGGGCAGCGTCACCAGCAGCCTGGTCCTGGAGAGCGTACAGTCCCTCATAGGTACCAGACCAGAATTATAACACTGACTGCCTTGAACTATCCTCAGGTGCAGGGTACATGTATAAAGCATGTTTCTTAATGTAAATTGTCAGTGAGGTGTTTTCAGGTAACTTTTAAAACACGACAGCTGATTTGACATCACCTCACTGCCCACTTCCTGTTTTTACACACAAGTCAAAAGGCTGACGTGTTGAGGTGTAGTCTTTGTCTTGTCCAGGTCATAACTTCTGATCTGCTCAAGATAATTTAATGAAACTTCAAACACTTATGCCACTTCACTAGGCAGAGTGTCACATATACTTGTCTTCATCCCAGCTCCAAGGTCAAGGTCACAAATCAAGGTGAAAGTTCATACAAGGTCTTTGCTTGTTCAGGCCATTGTTACAGATTGCTGGATAATCTTTTGTAGACGAGCGTATAATATGCCATATAGTCATGACTCTCAGATTTTACAGAGCTTTGCATGAATGGGTTCTGCTAAATCAGTGTTTTTTTATTTGCAGCCATTATCTTTAATGCAACAACAGCATGCTGTCATTCTGACAGGGAACAGGAGTTGTACAGTTTTTTTTTTTTTTTTCCCTCAATAAGTCAGGATCTGAAAGTGCTTGTAGTTTCCTGAAATATTATTTTTCCGTATTGCATTCTTGATCTTAAGTTGGTACCGTAATTTATTTTTAAGCCCTTGTTATTACTATTACTATTACACATACTACTATTGGTTATTACTATTAGATCAGTCTTACATCGGGGAAACTAAACAGCCACTGGCCAAAAGGATGGACCAGCACAGAAGATCAACATCATCAGGCCAGGACTCTGCGGTCTACACTCATCTCCAGGCCAGCGGTCACTCTTTCAAGGATGAAGATGTTCACATCCTGGACAGAGAGGAACGATGGTTTGAGAGAGGAGTAAAGGAGGCCATCTTTGTGAAAAGAAATCGTCCATCATTAAACAGGGGTGGAGGCCTCCGTGTTCAACTGTCCCTCTCTTACAATGCTGTTATTGCTAGTATCACTCAGCCCTCTGTGAACAGTAAACAGCCATCAGTGTGCTAATGATCCATTGTTAGGCTGATGGTCCTTCTTGAGCATGTGATCAGCTGGTTTTGGTTGTCAGCAGCAAAACTGGTTGATCCACCCTGAGACGGTGCTATTTAAGAGACTGAGCTGAATACAGCTCCTCAGACTGAGGAAGTCTCTCGGATGAGAGACGAAACGTTTCTATATTTTTTTGTTTGTTTTGTTTTGTGAACCCGTCAAGAGGACATGACTTAACATTTTTTAGATTTTTCTACCTGGATTATTGAGCATGCATCAGGATATTACTATTAATGTTGTGACCTTTCTTTTTTTACCTTACAGGCTGCTTCAACTTAGACCCTAATCGTGTTTTGGCTATAATCCTGGAGGTGTATGAGAGTCGCTCTGACCAGGATGACTTCTTCCTTTCCCTCATCAAGTCCTACATGTGTGAGCCAATCACCCTTTGCCACATTTTGGGCTTCAAGTTCAAGTTTTACCAGGTGAGAATGTCAGAAAGTCGTTTTTTAAATAGTCGGAAAGTTTTGGGTAGTTAAGTAATGGACCTAAAAATTTCATTTTTGCCCATGTCCTGTATGTGATTAAGTATAATCCACAGATATTAATACAACTTATTTATTGCTTGTTTTTCACATTTCTGTTTTCATTCAGGAGCCCAATGAGGAAACCCCCAAGTCACTTTATCACATTGCAGCTGCTCTTCTTCATCATAACCTAATAGAGCTGGATGACCTCTATGTGCATGTAAGGGACTGCATATCCACATTGTTGTTACATTAAGTATTATAGTTTATTTGCGTACCCCATGCCTGGCTAAAATTTTCATTATTTGTTGCGCACACTCTGTTATCAACCAACATCAGATGAAAGTGAAAGTAACTGGCCTCGGTTTGTAGATTAAAATAGTGATGATTATTCTCGTTTGTTTCCTTCCTGCCATTCCAGCTGATGCCACTTGATGCCACCATCATGGAAGAACACAAACGAGACATTTCGGAGGCTAAGCAGATCGCCCGCAAGCTCGTCATGGTTGTGCTGCCCTCAGAGAAAAGTGAAGACAAGGAGAAAGAAAAGGAAGAAGAGAAAAACGAGAAGGTTTAAGAGTGTTTAATCTTGTTTTGACCGCACGTACATTTAAATCTGTTCTGAAGCGATGCTGTTAGTTTGAGTTGATAATGAGGAATGTGATTTTATATAACTATATATATATATATATATATATATATATATATATATATATATATATAATCTGACAGTTGGAAAACATGGTGGAGAAGCTTTTAACGTTGTTGGCTATTTCTGTAGAAGTCAAATTAGGGCAATTTTTTTTTTGAAAAATAATAAATAAAAAAACAGTTTCTAAAAAGTTTTGAAAAATTTCTCACATAAGGTTTACTTAATTTTAACTGAATTCTTTAAATCATTGCAAATAATAAATGTTTTATCAATAGCTTTATTTGCCCATCAAAGTATTATGATACAGTCTTTGTACGTCCGTAAAGTTTCTCTTGTCAGCCCATAATCTCTGATCCTCTCAAGATAAAAAATAAACACATATCTGCATCATCACTAGATGGAGGGTTGCATAAAGTTTTCATCCCCTTTGGCCTTCAAGGTCAAGGTCAAAGTTAAAACAATGTCTTTGCTTGTCTGGACAATTGCTGTAGATTACTGCAATTGTCTCCTTGTAAGTCGCATCTTTTTGCATAAATTTGTAAGTTCTGCGAATTATACACCAAAGTGACTACCGTAATATTTGTCTCTCCCCCCCCCCCCCCCCCATATCTACAACCCAGTTTTTGGCTGAGATCTGATGATTTCATTCGTTCTGACATGGAAAATATTGAACACTTGCCATTTTCAGCTGCTAGAGGGCCCTCGACCAATTTGGCAAGCCAAGTGTCTCATTAATAGGGAAAAGTGACTATTAATGAGACGCTTGGCTTGCCATACAAAGCCACCTTCGTCTCGCTCAAGAACTCCTGGAGCAAATGTCAATTCAGCTGCATTTCACCGCGCTGCCCAGGTGAAATGCGGCTGATTTAACCATTAAAGTGCATTTATGAAGGAAAAGTTCAACTGAGACACACCTTTACTATAATGTTGAGCAAACAAATTGTTTTTAGGTGGTTATCTTGTTAAATTTTGACGAAGTGCACAGCGAGTCGTATCTCTGCTGGCTTCCGCGAATCAACTTTTGAAATGCAGCTGATTTGACCATCAAGGTGCATTCATGAAGGAAAAGTTAAACTGAGACACACCTTTGCTATAATTCTGAGCAAACAAATAATTGTTTTTAAGTGTTAATCTTGTTAAATTCTTGTTAAAGTCCTCCTGTGCACGCTCCTGCGGCCGCCATTTGGCAACCAATCAATTTTTGGCACATCACCGGCCCACATTTCTGGGTTGTCAGCGGTAATGCATAGTAGATGTGACTTGTACAGTGAAGCAACTTATTTATTAGACATATTTAGACTGCTGCGACTTATAAGGCGGCAAGTACAGTACTGTATAATAGTTTGCCAGCGGGCGTATAACATGCTGTACGCGTGACTCCGTTTGTGGCTTGTTTTGCTGTATTTTGGTTCCTTTTTGTTGATAAATGAATAAGTGGTTTATTCAACAATTAATTTAAGGTGCATTTTTGTTTCTGCAGCCACCTGATAACCAGAAGCTCGGCCTTTTGGAGGCACTGCTCAGGATTGGAGACTGGCACCACGCTCAGAGTGTTATGGACCAGATGCCTTCTTTTTATGCAGCTTCTCATAAGGCCATCGCCCTGGCGCTCTGCCAGCTTATCCACCTGACTGTGGAGCCTCTTTACAGAAGGTGTAGTTTTTTTTAATGTTTAACTGCTAATCATTGTTACCCAGGCAGAAAACATCAGCTGTTTGCCAGTTTAATGTCACTGACATGTAACGTTCACTGTAGAGCCGGCATTCCAAAAGGGGCGAGGGGCTGTGTGCTGCAGCCACTAAGGAACAATCGGGCTCCTCAACTCGCAGAAAGTTTCGAGGACCTACGAAAGGACACGTTCAGCATGCTGTCCTACCTGGGCCCTCACCTCTCCCATGATCCCGTTCTCTTTGCCAAGATTGTGCGACTGGGCAAGGCCTTTATGAAAGAGGTAATAAGAAAGACACTACGTTACATCTGGACCTCCGCTTTGCTTTTATTTTTGACCTGTTTTGTTGTTTTTACTTTCCAGTACCAAGCGGATCACATACCTGAGGTGAAAAGTAAGACGGTAAGTGCAAAACATCCTCATGATACAAAAATACCCTGATTATGTTCAATATAGATTATTTTAACCTTGTTATTGTTATCTAGCAATTTCAGGAACTCTTGTTGAGTTGTTTCCTGAGCATTGCAGACCAGGTGCTTCTGCCGGCTCTCTCTCTGATGGAGTGTAACGCCTGCATGTCTGAGGAGCTGTGGGGTCTCTTCAAACTATTTCCCTACCAGCACAGGTAAAACACATACATATACACACTCAGTTCTCAGTTTACTGTGTGTCGTTTAAAATGACAAGCATTCACAATTCAAATCCCTCAGCGATGGGAGACCACTTGTTTAATGCTGAATTGTGTCGACACCAACATAATAATTTCAGTTTTGTGCCACTGTTTTCTTTCAGTTTTATTCTATAGTTAATTTATACATTGAAATCATAATTCAGTCTTAAGGTAAAAAAAAAAAATCACATAAGAATGACTCCATTTTGTTTTAGGTAAACCACATATTCTCCATTAAATAGTAACTATTTTAAGTAAAGCTGCACAGAAAGTTGCTTTTTTTTACATCTTATAGTTGCTTTACATTATAATCCAATTTATTGTTTATGTTTGACCACCCTTGCCTTGTTTTACTCTGCCAAGTTGTTCTTTTTAAAAATTTGTATAAGTACATCTTACAACTGTTCTTTCTCCGTGTTGGTCCTTCAAGGTACCGGTTATATGGTCAGTGGAAGAACGAGACGTACTCTGGCCATCCATTGTTGGTTAAAGTAAAAGCTCAAACTGTGGAAAGAGCCAGATACATAATGAAGTAAGTATCTTGTGCGCACATTGATTTATTTTTAGCACTGTTTTTTTTTCTTTCTTGCACTTGATCTTTACTTCTACAATCTACACGTAAAGTTGACGTTTCACTCGTGGTACATTTAGTCAAAAAATATATAAAAATGTCAGGAATATCTTACAGAAAATATTTATCCTGCTTGTTCTTCTGTGGTACTACTGTTATTTTAATGTACATTGTTTAATATTGGTGTTAAACGTTTACTTAACCGTCAAATTTTATTTAATTTTTTTAAGTTTGTTAAATGTGTGCTAAAATGGAAACGTTAATAATAATGTAATTTTTATAAAATGTTTCTAATCACGATTAAATAACTTGCAGTTGTTTTCTACTATCTCAAATACATTTTTGGGGTTAGTTTAACATGGAGCACCACAACAACTTAAAATAGTTATTTATTTGTTTGTCAAGTAATTATTGTGAGCATGTTTTTAACTGCTCTAAAGTTTACACCAGTAACATCCTTTGCTTTCAGCATTAGTTCTACGGTCTGATTTTAATCTGCCATTTTGTTCTCCTTTCCTCCCCAGGCGTTTGACCAAAGAGAATGTGAAACAGTCAGGAAGGCAGATTGGCAAACTCAGCCACAGTAATCCCACCATCCTCTTTGACTATGTAAGCAAAGTTAACTGTAATAATTTTCATTATTTATGTATTAGCCTGCAATTTAACCAGGCAAATCCCACTGAGGTCACAAATCTGTTTTGAAAGGGAAGCATGGGGCTGAAGGCAGCCTAACATGCATGCTTTTCAGCTTGAATGATGGAGGCAAACAGCAAGCTAATTTGGAGTTTCTGCAAGCAAAATGGATGGCACATAATGCACTTTGCTTTTTCTGTAGCGGAATCCAGCAGTCGAAATAAAACTCATCTGTTAAAAAACTCATTAAAATTTGACATCAGACACGGCGTGAAAGATGCAGAAAATCTCGTGTAATCGTTACAAACTGAGCAAAGTGTTGCTGTGCCAATTATCAGAACTTTACACATCAGTGGATGCAATTTATTTTGTTTATAGCAGCTCTTCAATTTATATTTTCAGTATGGACAACGTTATGCTAAACATCTCATCTCAGTATTTGTTGTGATGAAGCGTCATCTTGTCAGGTGTTTCCTGTATTCCATGGAGACATTAATGTCTCGTCCTCCGCTGTCTTTTGTACATCAGATGCTGTCTCAGATCCAGTGGTACGACAACCTCATTGTTCCCGTGGTGGACTCTTTGAAATACCTCACGTCGCTCAACTATGATGTCCTGGCCTGTATCCTTGCACTTTATGCTCCTAAGTGTGTGTGTGTGTGTGTGTGTGTGTGTGTGTGTGTGTGTGTGTGTG